GCAGCCATTTGATGAGTTTCATGCCAGTACCAGCTCAAATAATGCACACAGGTGCGCACATAGGTATGTGATGGTGCCTACATCCTTGCTTTACTAGTGGTCATTTATAGTAACATGAAATAAAGAAATTAACAGAAACAAAGCCTCTGTGTCTTTGTGTACTACAGCACCCTACAAAACTGCTGTTATGACCCTCATGTCACCTGAAGGTCATGTCACCCACATAGGTTGTGGCAGTGACACCAGCACAGCCTGAGCAGCCCAGCCTGGGGCTCCTATAGGGACAGGGACACACACCCTGGGCTGGCATCAGCCAGCTCAGCCTGGCCCAGCTGTGCACACCCCAAAGCCCCTCCATGGAGGAGGGGTTCCCTAGCCTTTCTTTTTCCCACAAAAGGGGGAAACCTGCCCAGGGCAGCTCCCTGTGGTGCTTGGCACTGGCCAGCCCAGGAGGAGGCACCCACAGACTCCCACAGCAACAACCCATGTGGTGCCACAGACCTTCCAACACCCCACACAACCCCCAGGCCAGGGATGGGCACCACATCCTCCAGCAACGCTCAGACTGCTCCTAGGCTAGATGTCCTGGTTTCACTGGGATAGAATCATAGGCCAGCTGCAGGCTGTTAGCAGTGTTGAGTCAGCTGGGTGCTTGAGCTAGGAGGGGCAAAAACCAGGGCAGCTGCCCTGAACTGGCTGACAGGTGTGTTCCATACCATAAAAGCTCATTATAAAGGGGGAAGTTCACTGAAGGTGGGGTGGTCTGCTCCTCTTGAAGGGTGCCATCCCCAGAGGGGCTCATTTATCACTCTGCTCCTGAGGACTGCTTTTCTGTTTATCGTGACTGCCACACATTCATGGGGCTGAGATAATTTAGATTCGTTAGACCCGTTTTCACTTCAACCCATGTGCCTCCTCTCCTTTCCCCAGTTCCCCTTCTCAGCTGAGGAAGGGTCATCAGGTGATAGAGCAACTGCTATAGTCTAGCCCCAGATACAGGCTGAACACAGACACTGGGTGAGCAGCTACAATGGACAGCACCAACCAGAGTGGGGTTTTCCTGAGCAGCAGCTGGACACAGCCCCAGTGCACCCTCCCCTGCCAGGCTCTGCCATGGGCACAGCTCCACCAGCCTCCCACCCCTACAGCACAGCACCCATCCTGTGGTGTCACACTGAGACACCTGTGCCCTGGCCAGCAGCCAGAGCACACCAGTCCCCAGTTCATCCCTCATGGCATCGTCAGGTGCAGGCCTGTTTGGCTGTTGCTTTGGGCACTCACCAGGCATCACCTGCAGCTCCTGAGTCCCCTCATGCTCCTCGGACAAGGTGGGCACTGGTTCCCCTCACCCAGGCTTGGGGCTGGGCTGCTCCTGGCTCTTGCTGAACCACTGTGGCATTGCCTGCACAGACAAGAGCCCCATGAGGACCCAGGTCCCTGACCAGGGTCACAGCTCCGGTCCCTATGGCCTTGCCCCTGCGTGCATTGGGGATAAATAGCCCTGGAGAGGAGACTCCATGGTCAGGGATGGGCAAAGCCATGGCGTCCCAGCAGCCCATGAGAGGATGGGACAAGGAGGAGAAGGACCCCAAGCAGGAACAGCTGACAGAGGACTCCATAACCACCATTATGGTGGGAGAGGAGATGGAGCGCAGGGGGTCTGCAGGAGCCCCATGCTGGGGACACAGGGCTCACCTGTCACTGGAAAGCAGGAACACCAGCACTCATGCTTGGGTAGCTTTGAAGACCTTGCCCTCAGGCACACTCTGCTCATCCATGAGCTCCTGGAGCAGCAGGGCTGTTGCTGAACTGGCCACCCCAAACCATGCAGCTGCCTATGCCACGGAGGGAGGCTCAGACCCAGCCCCTGCTCTGTGCCCAGCTGGCCACAGGGTGATGGGGATTTGGGATCAGGAGTGAGCAGAGGTGACCCAGCACACCTGTGGGCCACGCACAGACCAACACAGTGAAATCTGTCCCTGCAGCAGACATACACACTTGTCAGCTCCCAGCTTGGGCTGTCACTGTGTCACAGCTGCCTTCTCCTGCTTCTCTGTGCACGTGCATTTTGAGTGTGCAAATGTATGCGTACGTGTGGTCAGCAGGGGCACACCCTCACCCCTTCACACCAGGGACGTGATGGTGCTGCGGCCATTGCACAGAACACAAGGAGGGGTTGCACTGGGGGAAATGGTTGAGGTGGGAAAGGTATTTTTGAATAAGACCCACTCCTGCTCTAAAGGTTCCAGGACAGAAGCACAGATGAGCCAGAGCCTGAGGGCCCCGTGCAGCCCCAGCTTACTGCCTGCTCTGGGCAAAAAGCACCTTTTTCTGTTAGAAGCAACAAAACTTTAAGCAATTTGAGCCAGCACTCAGCATCTGCAGAGCAACCCCAGCCCCAGAGTTACCTCTTCCCTTTTCTTTGCCATGGCAGGTAATGGATAAACCCCCACACCCCCAAGCCCCAGGGAGGCACAGGTTGTCCTCTTCCACCACAGTGTACTACACCCAATGCCCACAGCTGTGGGGATCTCATCCCACACAGAAGCAGCTCCCACACCACAAGTTCCTAGTAACGTTTCTGCAGAAGAAGCTGAGTGGGACTGAGATCCCCACACCACCACCATCATCCGCCCCCCACTGCTGTCTTCTGTGTCTCGGTGCTGGTAACCATCTAGGCAGAAACAGGGATGGGTGCAATGCTCCGGGGCCTCTCTGAGCACAGGGGGATGCTGTCACCAGCTCTGCACACTGTGATGTACACAGAGAAAAAGCTGAGCTGACTGCAGCAGGCTTGGCTTTTGTTTTGTTTTATTTTGTCTTCGCACTGAATTTTGTGGTCTGGTCTCATCACCAGTGTGGGTCTGCAAGAGAAAGTCTTCTTTATCTGATAACCTCAGCACTGCTCTGACTGCACAGCATACAAAAGTGTAACGCTGTCCTCTGGTGCTGCAGGAGGACACAGAGAGATAAATGATAACACAGAGGCAGGAAGGCAAACTCTGCTGTTTATGCTGGTGTCACCCAGGAAAGGGGGAATCAACCACAATCAAGGCAAACCCCCCGCAGCATGCAGCAGCTTGTGGCAGGTGCACCCACCCCGATGAAGAGCAGAGCTTTCACACCCCAGCTTTTCACAGCTTGATGATGAGTGTTGTCATGTCCATGGTCACCAGAAGATGGGATCCTCAGCCAGAAAGAACTGACTCATTGGCCATACATGACCGCAGATCAGCTTCGACTAGGGTATAAATGGAGTCGGTCCTCCTCGGAGCAGTGGGTCTGCAGTTGGGGATTCTCCCCTTGGGTCAGGACAATGCCCAGGGAAACTCCTCGAGGCTGAGAGCCCTCACCTTATTAGGTGAGTGATTGTGCATTTTGAGTCATCATTCTAAAGCTTTGGAATTCTTAAGTCGGCTGTGTAGTATTAGTTCCTGCCTGGCAACCTGAACCTGTAGTTTACTAATGTTTGTTGGAGTGCTAAACAATTTTGATTACAATAAATCTCATTTTAATTTGACTTTGTGATTTTTGCAACATTTCTATGCTGTGAGCCTCTGCAACATGGCTCCACAGGGCGCAGCGAGATCGGTGGAATCTGCAACAGGACAGGAGAGGAGGGTCAGGGAGCAGGGACGTGCCTTGCCACACCGTGTGTGTGTGTGTCCCAGTCCTGCCTTGATGGCTGGACCCAGGTGATGGGCCTCCCATTCTGCAAGAGCTTCCCAGCAACATTTTGCTGCAGGACAGGTTGCCCTTTCACCTGGCCATTGCCACTTCAGCACCACAGCAACCCTGCATCTTAAATCAGGTGTTGGTGGAAAGGGAGACTCTGGGCACCCACTCAGCTCTGTGCAGCAGTGACTTTATAAACCAGCACCAGCCCACCCAGTTTACCAGAATATGCCCTGCTCCTTCCTCCGCTTGATGTCTCTCTTCAGCTGGCAGAGCGCGCACAAGGGGCAGCACATGAGGGAGAAAAAGTCACCCAGAATGGAGCCCTGCAGAGCAAGGGACGTCGTATGAGTATCACCTTCCTACATCAGCTTTTAAGTCTCTCTATTTTTCATCGTCAGCACCCTGAGCAGCTTATGCCTGGCCCCGCAGCACACTGCCACTCATGCCCAGTGAGGGCTGGGATGAGGCGAGGTACAATGGGATTACCTCCAGCTCGCAGCAGGGATGCGGACATGTCCCTGACTCCCTATCTACAGGGCTGCCCGTGCAACTCCCTGCCACTGCTCTTCCCCTCGAGCACCCACCCCTTCCTCCTTCCCTGAGCCCAAATCCCAGCACCCAACGCGGTGGCCCCACGGTTGGTCACTGACCGGGATGTTGTATTTGGTGCGGTAGAGCGTCCTCATGGCCACGCTGGCACCGCACATGCAGCACTCATTCATGTCCCCGGCCACTTGACACGCCAGGCAGCTTGGGCAGCAGGCTCCGCAAAGACCTGCAGGACAGTGAGAAACAGGCTTGGCTGAAGGGTGCCAAGAAAGAGGAGAGAGGGGGAAAGCCATCTGGGGCTGCAGCCATGGGAGCTGTGGGACCTCAGGCAAGAGCTGCTCTGCTGCTGGTACCCACAAAAGTGGGGCTGGCAGCAGGGGTGATGCCATGGAAGGAGCAGAAAAACACCAGAAACACATCATGAGCCAACACCAGGAACAAGGGGTAGACAGGTACTCACATACGCCAAAGTCAGAGCAGCAGTCCAGCAGCCCTGTCTGCCACTCGCCTGCCCGTGGGGCAGTTGAAAACTGGGGCTGGACTGTGATCACCTGGTGAGAGGCCATTGCCAGCGCGGGGTCAGGTCACTCCAGGCAGTTTGTGGTCTGGAAGGAAAAAAACATCAGAGAAAGGTGGTGCAGGTGTTTCTGAAGTGGGTGTCTTGCTCAGGCTGCTGCATTCAAAGATGGAGAGGGCAGCACAGGTCTCTGAGGAGTCCCCGCTGCCAGGGCACTGCCACCCCCACCACAAAGTGAGGGGCACAGCTCTGCCAGGAGCTGCCCCTGTCCTAGCTTTCCCAGGCTCTCAGTAGTCACTTTAATCTTTGCTTTGTTCCCTGAGCATCTCAGCCTGTTTGCCTCTCCCTCTTCTTCTCCCTTCCTTCTTCACCTGCTTTCTTAGCAGGTTTCAAGGCAGTGGGTTTTCCTTGTCCCTTTCCATCATCCTAAGCCCAGCCCTAAATTCCTGTCCCTCCTTCACTTACCTGTCTGTGCCAATACCTTGTCCTTCTCTTCCTCAGTTCCCTGGGGCCACCACCACCCTAACAGCCCGACTCCTACCCATCCTTCCACACCGAGGGCCTGCAGCCTCTGAGCAGCAGAGCTCCTACTCCACAGCACCATCCCCAAACCCATCTGACCCACGGAATGACTCCACCTCCATCTCCACCTCCAGGTGCAGCCCCTTCCCTCCCTGCTGCCCCTTGCAAGGCATGACACCACCCTCTGTCATTCTCACTTCTGCTTTGGAGCTTTAATAAATAAATACACACATTCGTAGAGGATGCTGCCGTAGGAAGTCCCACACAGACACATTCCCAGCCCTGTGCTCAAGCCCAGCTCTGCTCTGTTAAGCAGCATGGAGGTGAGATGTCCCACACAGACACACTCCCAGCCCTGTGCTCTTAGAGCTACAAGGGCTCGCTCCCGCTCTCAAGTCATGGCCACACGTATATCTCCAGCAAAGAAATCATCAGTAGGGAAGCAGCCTGAGCTTTGGACCCCATAACCATGAGCTGCTGCTCCTTTGCCCAGAGGGGTCCCAGGGCAGCTCCCTGCAGAGCTCCAGGTCCTCTCCAGCTGCCATGACCCTGCACAGCCCACTGGCATTTTCCCAAGGGGCCTTACAGGCGTTGGCATTTCCGCAATGGGCATTAGGGGTGTTTAACAGAGTGTCTTTGGACAGTTGGTGCCCCGCCTGCCCCTGCCCAGCTTTGACACCTTTGTCCTGCCTGTGCAGCTGCACTGCTGCCTGTCTGGGTGACGGCCAGGGTGGGCAGGGGGCTACCGAGCAGCCCTCCTCTCCCTGCCTTGGGGCTCCCTGCCCTTGTGTGACAAGGGAGAGCCTGAGTCTTGCGGTGCTGGGAGAAGCCAAAAGAAAAACAGGGGAAGCATTTACCATTTAAAGGCAGGGATGATGGCAATGATCCCTGTATGTTTTGTTAAAATGCTGTAAAGTCAATGGGATTGCTTTCATGGCAGAATTACAATTTACACAAAACTCAAGTATTAAACACAAGGAATACAGTGGAATAAACACATTGCTATGCCCAGCACTCAGATGATGCCACCAAGTGTATTACCAGCATCCAACACCAGAGAGACACAGGCTGTGGCATTGCATTTGTATGGAGAGGAGTCAGTAGGCAGCACAGGGGTCGGTGGCTCTGCTGGCAGTTCCTGTGGTTCCCCGTTATTTACAGACTAGCCCAGACACATCTCTGCTGTCAGACACAGCCTCTTGCCATGTGGCCAACCCTTGCCCCCTGGTAGTACACAGGGAGGAAAAGGGATGTTGAATTACACCATAAAAGGGAAGAAAGCGTGAAATCTCTACACCTAGAGAAATCTCTACATGATTTGCTCATGACATTTTGCATCTTTCTGCAGGCAGCAGAAGCATGGCTGAGCTGACCCTATCTGAGACACTGGTATTTGCTCCCATTAAGCGACAAGTAACCTTGAAGGGTGAACCAACAGCTGGTGGGATTGCTTCAGTCACCAGCCCCCGCTGGGGTTAAAAGACAAAGGTGTTTCCCTGCTGCTACTGAACAGGGCTGTTGAGCAGCAAAAATACTGCTGTGCCCTCTCTGGGGCAAGGGGTCTGGCTGTTGGCAGGGACCTTTGGAGTGAACACAGGCAACTCCACCACCCATGGGTGCTGTGCGGGCCACGGCACCCATTGTCCCTTGCCAGACACCTCCTATCCCTGCCCTGGCTGGCTGTCCCTGCTTGTTCTTGCACAAGTCCCCAGGTAATTCTTGCCACCAATATAACACCTCATGGCATGCCAAAACAACCACCCATGCAGGGAGCCTTTCCACAGGACAATTTAAGAAGCAGGAGCCAGTGGGGCAGGGGAGGGGACAAACCACAAGATGGGCTGTGTGGCAGGGACACCAGGCAGGGACAACACGGGGGGCCCATGCAGCAACAGGGATGCCCAGCAGCAGGCAGGATGGCAGGGACCACAGGCAGAAGCATGTGCTGGAGCAGCAGCAGGAGAAGATCTAGGAGAAGGACCCCACCAGCCTCCCATGCCAAAGAAGACACAACCCCACCACCAGATAATGAGATTGACAGCAATGCACAGGGAAAATGGAGCCGAGCACACCACACACACACACACTGTGCCCTTTGCAGGCAGGGCTGGCCATGGACTTTCCCTTCCTTTCCCCAGGTACAAGTGGACCACGTCCCTGCGCAGATGGAGGCTGCAGTGTAGAGCAAGTAGCAGCCTGGAGAAGCCTCCGCTGCTTACTCCTCTCCTGAGAGGTGGCCCAGGCCCAGCACACCCAGCACATCACCCCAGGTACCCCCAAATCTACATTCCCACGGCACCACCAGTGGCACTGGAACAGCTGACGGGAACAAAATGCATCCTGAGGTGCATGCAGCCACATTTCACTGGTAACCAAGGTCATACAGCAGCACTTTTTTCTACATAGGCACATGTATATGTGCAGAAATGAACAATGCAGTGCAAAAGCTCCAGGGAGGTTGTGGAGTCTCCTTCTCTGGAGACATTCAGAACCCGCCTGGACGCCTTCCTGTGTGATCCCAACATTCTGTGATTCTGTGAAAAGCTGCCGTCCTTTACCTCTGCTGCCCACTTCTGTCAAGATGGCTGGCAGCAGCACCCAGCGTGCTTTGGTTTAGCTCTGAAGTAGATTTCCAGGTAGAAAGCCTCACCTCTATGTCCATCCTCACCCCTTCCCCAGCAACACTGCTTCAGCCACAAGCAGTTTCCATAGTTGTGTGCCGCAGCTCTCGCGGAAGCGAAGCCAAGCCATACGTACCTGTCGAGCCACCCTTGTCCCGTGAGACGCCTGTCGTTTTCCTGGTTCTTATCCTTTATACTCTCTGGGTGCTCCCAGGCAAACGACCTCTGCTCCCTCTGACTAACAGACCAGACCCCGGCTTAGGTGGTGCTTCGCGCAGTTGCAGCTTCCCTGCTGAAGGCAGCCGGCTGCAAGCTTGCTTCTGCGTCTGCTTGGCTCCTGCTGTCCCCTCCCTCGCCTTTCCCCACCCCAGCATCCCACAGGCCCACAGCCCTGATGGGACACACCACTTCTCATGAAGGTTTTCAGAGAAGGGCAGTTTGCTTTTGGGCTCCTGTGTTGCCTTAACCCATATCCTGCTGGAGGTGCAGCACCTTTCCTTCATTAAGTCTGAGCATCAGCGAGAACTGACCATAACTCCTTCAGGTAACACAGGTGCTGCCCTGAACTACAGCTAAAAAATCATACCACGCTGTGCTGGGAGGAGATGGCAGCACAGTATTTCTTCTCTCCTCCTCTCCACATTCCTGGCCTTTACTGCTCTTAGGTTAAAAATGCAGTTTTCTTTATTTCCAGGGATCAACCACAGGTCCACCTGGGTTTCGGGCAAGTGGGAGTGCCACCACATGGACCCACCCCACAGCACTGACAGAGCCTCCATCTGCCCTTTACAACGCTTGTGGTGAAGGTGAAGGCAGAGGAGAAAACAAATCATATTTTCCTTAGAGAGTGAAGCTGAGGGAGATCTGTAGGGAGCAAATGGAGCACAAGTCTTATGAGGAGCAGCTGAGGGAACTGGGGTTGTTTAGTCTGGAGAAAATGAGGCTGAGGGGAGGAGGGGTCTGTCTACAACTACCTGAAAGGAGATTGTAGTGAGGTGGGGGTCTGTCTGTTCAACTAAGTAACAAGTGACAGGACAAGGGGAAATGACCTCAAGTTGCACCAAGGGAAGTTTAGATTGGATATCAGGAAGAATTTCTTTACTGAAAGGGTTATCAGGCATTGGAATGGGTTGCCCAGTGCTGTGGTGGATTCTCCATCTCTGGAGGTATTTGAGAGTTGTCATCTAGACATAGTGCTTAGGGACATGGTTTAGTCGGGGACTTGTCAATGTTGAGTTAATGATTGGACTTGATGATCTTAAAGGTCTTTTCCAATCTAGGCAATTCTGTGATTCTATGAAATATCCTTTAGCATCTCCCCAAGGGTGGATGTAACCTCTGCCCTTTGGATGGAGAGCTCATCGCCAACAGCCCAGCACAGGCAGGCATGCTCTGCCTGGCCATGGCCAGGAGGCAGCAGGGTTTGCCTGTGGCCCATGGCCAACCCACAACCCAACCAGGTTTTTAATCACAGGAGGGTGGGAATTCAAGCCCAGGGTCCACAGGGGATCCTGCCTCTGCAGTGTAGGAGGTGGGCTGCTGCCAGGCAGCCAAAAATCCCCATGGCTTTATCTTCAGAAAGGTGGGACCAGCCAGCAGCCCTGACAGCCACCCGGGCCACCACAGCAGCAACAACTTGGTGGCCTGCAGCCATCACCACCCTGCTGGAAGCCCTAGTTCTGCCCTGGGGCAGAAGTCACTTTTCCAAATTTTACAACTTGGATGAGTGACACTGAGTCCTCCTATGTGTTAAGCATCCTTTCTAAAAGCTGAGTGAATAACAAAACACCCGTGAAAATCTCTCTCTGCAGCAGGCGCAGGGAAGTCTCAGTGGCACCAGGGGCTGCTGAGACAGAGAGAGCAGAAGGACAGGTGCCCTCAGGCACCAGGGGCTGCTGAGACAGAGAGCAGGAGAAGGACAGGTGCCCTCAGGCAGTGCCCCAGTGACAGACACACAGGTAGGAAGACAAACTGCAGTTTTATTGCTGGTGTTACCCAGGGAAGGGGGGATCAATCGTAAATCAAGACAAATCCCCTGCAGAGCATTCCCAACAGCCAGGGCAGCGAGGACTCTGCCTGCAGCCGTTCCGCAGGGCGCAGCGAGGACAGCAGCATCTGCAACGGGACCAGAGAGATGTGTCAGGGAGGGGGGCAGTGCCTTGCCACACTGTCTGTGTGTCCCCAGTCCTTCCCTCCCCCACCCAGTGTGATGTTCCTAGCAACATTTTGCTGCAGGACAGGTCATTCTTGTCACCTGTCCATGGCCACTTCCCCTCTGCAGCAACCCTGTGTCTTACATCAGGTGTTGGCAGAAGGAGAGTCTCCGGGAAGCCATTTGGCCATGTGGTGGCAGATTTATAAAGCAGGACCAGCACACCCCTCTTACCAGAATATGCCCAGCTCCCTCCTCCGGTTGATGTCTCTCTTAATTTGGCAAACAGAGCACGTGAGGCAGCACATGGTGATACAGCAGTCAGAGCAAAGGGACCCCTGTTAGGAAGAAATTGGTTAGGGACACAGGGTTGCCAAAAACCAGATTTTGGCAAAGAAGAGGTTAATAACATTCCATGTCATGTGCCCTTTGTTTCCTGGCTGGAGCTGATGAACACCCACACATCAGAAAGGAGGGAGGAAGCCCTTTCTGCATGCTGCAGATAACCTCCAAATCCAAAAGAGAAGTAGATAAGACTGGGTGGAAAAACACAAACAGAAAGAAACGACGGGGGCAAACTGGACTTGGGTCACCACGGTTTGCACTGGGAACACTAACACCCATGGGGAGAAGCCGTTTCACATATGTGCTGTATATGAATGCCCACCCTTCTTCTGCATCTGATTACAGATGCTTATTTGTGACTTAATCTATTCTTGAGTCTGCCCACAATTCTCTCAAATCTTTCCCGTCTTTCAAAGACTGGGGATGGTGTGAGGAAGCAGCAGCCAAGGCACTGTGAGATGCTATGGTAGGTGGCAGCTGAAGGCAGGACATGTGCTCCCGGTGAAGGGTGCTGGGAAGGAACTGTATCCAGTTAACATTCACTGTTGGACACCAGCCCAGCAATCGGCATGGCCAAGGGCATCCCAACCTCTGTCCTGTGCTCCCAGCATCATGCAGGATACGAAAGTAAAAAAAAGGGCGGGTAGAGAGTGCTGCCACCCCTTGCTAATCCCTGCTGCGCAGAGAGAGGGGCCTCAGGGGCACCTCATCTTTCAGCCTCACAGCACAGTGAGGGGACGGGTTAACCACTGACCGGGATGTTGTATCTGGTGCGGTAGAGGGTCCTCATGGCCATGCTGGTCCCACACAGGCAGCACTCATTCATGTCCCCAGCCACTTGGCAGGCGAGGCAGGGGAAGCAGAACATGCCGCAGCAGCCTGGCAGGGGAAGAAACACAGCGCTGGGTGATGCTCTGCCCGCCCACCCAGCACCACCACCATCAAGAGGAGGAAGTAGGAGGACCAGGCTACACAGCTGTAGCCATCACCCCACCAACCAGAGCAGAAAGGGTGAGAAAGGTGTCTCAAGAGGGTGTGGGACCAACCACAGCACATCAATGCTGGTGGCTGAGAGATGGTTCCACCTGAGGCACTCACAGACGCCACAGTCGGTGCAGCAGTCCATCAGCCCTGTCTGCCATATGTTCCTCGAGGCAATGGCCATGCCATGCTGAGGCTGGATCATCACCACGGATGGGGTGGCCATTCCCAGTTGCTCTTCTGAAAGAGATGGGAGGGGAATGGGACAGTTAGTGAAAAAACTGCAGTTGGTTTGATCCCCCAACCAAGCTGGTCACCATCGCTCTTCAGAAGGTGGCTTTTTGCCCAGCTCCCTTGCTGCTGCTGGAGGTGACAAAGCGTAACCATACCTTGCCTGCATTTAGGTCTTTTCAAGATTTTTTTCATTTTCTCTCATTTTATCCAGCCTTCAAAATAGCATTAGGGCATTGACGTTCCCCACCCCACCCCAGAAAGGCTTCACTAGTGCTTAGACACAGTTCACCAATTTCCCTTGTGCCAAGCAGGGCTGGGCACTAAACCTAGGCTAAAGCCAGTGACTGGGCCATTTCAGTTGTTGAACCTGGCATATTTTACAGAGGATTGCTTTGGCGTGGGTACAAAGCTCACAGGAAGCAGCCATAGTCTCACATTTCCTCATAATAAAGCTGGGCTCCACGTAAGAGAGATACTGTAGAAAACTAGTATCTCCGGTTTATTGTCACAGTGAGCCCAAAAGGCAGAAACTCAGCTCTACGTCCCAAGTCTGAACCTCAGTCCTTGCCTGCCTGCAGTTAACCAAGCAACCTTGAAAGTCAGGAAGCCTCTGGTCTGAAAAAAAAAAAAACCTAATAAATTAAATCTCTGTGCTCCTATTCTCTCAGCCAAGTAAAAGACAGCACAAAACATTCTCAGATAAGAAAAGCAAGTTTTGACCTGAGGCCAAATTCTTCCAGTTATGCAAAAATAGAAGAAAGAGGAAGGGAAAAAAAAAAACAAAACAAAACAAAACAAAAAAAACCACCCCACACCTGCTCACATTTGTTGAAACTTTTTGCTACAAACAAAGGTTGTGGGTTTTTTCTTCTTAGAAATAGCAGCTTGGCACAGGCAGAACCACACTGCTGAGTGGTCAGGCTCCTCCCAGCGCAGCTCCTGAGCTCAGGAGCCAGAACAGAAAGTGAAATTAAGCAGCTAATACTGGCAGGGCACCTTCCCTCTCCAACCTTCGGGGCAATGCACACTCCTCCAGAAATCCCACTCCTGGGGATCCCATCCACACCAGCCTGCACGCTCAGCGTGCATGCAGCATCAGGTTTGTGTCCAGAGGGAACCGGCGAGCGAGCATTGCCTCCGAGCGCTTCCCTCTGCCCACCCACGGCACTGCTACCCACACGTGGGCAACCTCTCTGCTTTCTACACTTATACCAATGCATAGCATTCTGCAGATGAGTACTACTCACATAGTTTCTCCTCCCTTATCTACCAACATTAGCAAAGAGAATGCAACATTAAGCTGCTGGTTTCACCAGTAAGTATCACACCCCATTGAAAAGGACAGCAAATACAGAGAGAGACCAGGCAGCAACATATAAAAGCAAGTGACATCCAAGCCCCTCACAGGACAGCATCCTTAGAGCCTACCAGAAAACACATACAGCTAAGTAGCCTTGCTAAGGTGAATTTGGTCTTGAGGATCCATGTAGACAAGAGAGATCCCAATTCAAATAGAGAGCAAAGTACCCACTAGATTCTTTTAATGCAGTTATAAAATTCTGGTAGCAGGAGAAAGCAGCAAAGAAGAAGTAACACCTCTTCATAATCCAGCTTTTGTGCATAGCTTTTTAAAAGCCTCCCCCCTTCCCCACATAGGATTTGCCATATATTTTGCTTTAAATTATATGCTGTGCAGGGAAAAAAAAATGTACTATTGTACTACTATCCCACTTTTCCCAGGCTAATAAGTTTTTCCCATTTCAATGCTTTGAGATAACCAACCTTCTGGTGAGCAGCTTCTGTCAGTGCAGGTTTCTGTGCCGGCCGGGACCCTGTGAAGAGAGGCTCTGGGGAAGATGAAACTAAACTTTCTCACTGTTGGAGAATCTTATTGGCAGCCAACCGTGGGCCAGTATAATGGTGGGAGGTAACTGGAGGGGGAGGTCAGGAGCTGTGCCCTGTCAGGACCAGTACAGGCTGAACATGTTTGTTTTTTTCTTTTCCCCACAGAATTAAACCATAGACTGCTATTCATCTTTTAAAAAATGGTTGCATGTATATTACCTTATTCCCTGAACTCTGAGTGCACATGGTTGTTGTCTGGGGGAGAGCAGCTCTGGATGATGTGCATTTGTTGGGATAGATGATTTTCCCCAAGAAAAAGCATACTTCTCAGATCGCAGCCCAGACTAAATGGAGAGCACCCCAGGTGCTTCACTCTGAACTTTTCTCTTTCCTCAAGGAAAAGGCTGCAGATGAAGAGGTTGTGCAGATCTGCCTGCTTTCACAGCCAGGCTTGGGCAACAGCAGGTGGGCAGCGTGGTGGTGAAAGGGGGCAGCGGCAGGGTCTTCTGGGTGGCCAGAACATCCCTGTGGTACCCAGAACAGCCCCTGCCCCAGCATGCTGACTCAGGGGGCAAAACAGGGTGCTCTCAATCAAAGCCAACAGCCGCTAAACCCATCTGCATCAGGGGATGGCTCCCTGCAGGTCAGCACCCTGCACTGTGACACTGCGATGGGGGAAAGCCCCAGCCCCCACTGTCCTCCTCCACTTTCCTTCAGCCCCAGGTAAGGAGGCAGCAGGTCGCGATGGTACCTTTGCTTTTAAACCTTTCCTGCAACAACTGTGCTCCCTGCTCCTTCTTAGGAATGCCTTTGGGTTTTCATTTCTGAATTAGTAAATACACCCCACGGGGAAGCTTTCTACAAGAATTACACTGATTGCCTAACTGCTTGTCACAAGCCGCAAAGCCCAGCTATTGTAAAATTAAGTGAGTCCTTACCGTATACACATCCATTTCCCTCTGTGAGATGCTACTACTTACTATTTCTTCACTAACATGCCCCAAATATTTAATTGCCCATGCTCTCTTCAATTCACTGACAGTTTCGGATGCACTTCCCCATTTTGTAGAGAAGCTGTGACACCAGGACAGTGGTTTTTGTTTCCCAGTGAGATGCACAGAGTGTGCAGAGAGCCCAGAGTGGGCCTGAGCAGCTGCCTGCCCAGGAGCAACCTAAGTTGAAAGCATCCCACATGAAGTCCTGATGGTGCATTCCCTTTCTCTCTCAACATGCAAAAGAATGGGGAAAGAAGTTTGGATTAAACTGTGACATACTGGCTTTGTCAACAGGATGGGATTTATGGTGCATTAAGTGGAGCCTTTTACCAACAGTTCTGCTGAGATAGCAGTCAGCCATGCCCTGAGATGTTCCCCTTGGCTTCCAACAGCTCTGGAGTATAACTGTCACTGTCCCTGCTCTATGACAAGGCTGCCTGGCTGACCCCTGGCTGGATTGTAGACTTTTTTTTTTTTTTTTTTTTTTCTTGCATCACAAGAGGCTGCAGGAATTGAGGTTTGCAAAAAGTTGTAGTTCAGCAGATGTTTTCTAGAAGAGGAGATACCTGACATCCCACCAGCTGCCTAGACTAGGCTCATGCAAAATGCCAGCTAGCCTGGGAGCCTGCTGGGGAAGAAGGGAAATGGGAAGCTGAAATGCACGGTTGGTATGGGAGACAACATAATAAAAAAAAGGCTCATCATCAACATTTTAAGGATTTTAGCAGTCTGTCCTGTATTCACAGCTGGGGTGACGCTGACTCTCTGAGCAACCAGGCCCTGCAAGTGATTTTCTTCTGCAGAAAAGCAGCCCACTTCTACCTGCAATCCTGGTGCATCAAAGTGTAACTGCCCTTTGTCACCCTGAGAAAACACCACCATAAACACCTCCTTCAGCTCATTCCCTTCACCTGGCATTTAATCTGGACAAAAAACCCTGAAAAAAGCTCATCAGTGAAATCAAAACACAAACTCCTGAAACTCGCAGCAAGAGGCAGCGCCCAGTGCCAGCCAAGAGTGCCAATTGCCTCCCATCACAGTCACTGTGGTTTCTGTCTGGAGCTCACCACGGGGCCTGACATAAACACCTCCTTCAGCTCATTCCCTTCACCTGGCATTTAATCTGGACAAAAAACCCTGAAAAAAGCTCATCAGTGAAATCAAAACACAAACTCCTGAAACTCGCAGCAAGAGGCAGCGCCCAGTGCCAGCCAAGAGTGCCAATTGCCTCCCATCACAGTCACTGTGGTTTCTGTCTGGAGCTCACCACGGGGCCTGACTGGGGCTCTGCCAATGGCTGGTGGCCACAATTCCCTTTGTGTGTGGCTTCTCTGTGCCCATGAAGCGGCACTGCAGGAAGACAAGCAGTCGGCTGCAAAGCATGCCTCTCTTAGCCATAGCAAGACAACAAAGAGCAAAACATCTCAAGAGCTCGGGAGAAAGGAAACATGCTTACAAAATCAACCTTGTAATGCCTTTTTCCATGTGGTAAGAATAAAAAATTATTTCCAAGCAGACAATGGAAAAATTCAGCTGAAATTAATATTCACCAATTTAACATGCATCGCAGTAAATGCAATTTTGATTCTCTGCAAAGTATAAATTATGAATCTACCCTTCTATTTTACAGAGAAGTGGCAACCAGAAACTAGTTTACTCCATTTTACGCTGATGCCATCCACCTGCAAACGTTCTGAGCTGTTCTCCATACCGTTTGAAACAACTCCATCATGCAACTTGAAACAGTACCACAAATGAGCAAAGCCACCTTCCCCAGTATGCTGCCTCGTGCTCAGAGTTACACACACCCTGCTGTCTCCAGTGGTGAGAAGTGGATTCATTTACAGAGGGTTCACTGTAAACCCATGGGTTTGCTGGTGGAGCAGGGTGCCTGGAGGCCTCTCCAAAGCTCTGGTCTTGCCGGCCCTTTCAAGTGGCAGAGGAACAACCTCAGCGTTTGAGGTGGTTTCACCCTTTTGGCTTGCAGCCAAACCCAGTCACCCCCTCATTCCCTCCCCTGTCATCCCCTCCCCAGGGAGTAAGGGAGAGAATTGGAAGGATAAGGGCAAGGAGATTTATGGATGGAGATAAAAACTATTTACTATTTGAAATAAAATGCTAATGATAACAACAGTAATAACAGAATATACAAGTGAGTGATGCACAGTGCAATTGCTCACCACCCACTGACCAATGTCCAGCCTGTCCCCAGCCAGCGATCCCAGAGACAGTCCCGAAACCCAAGCCCCAGAAGAGTGAGTCTGAGCGATCCCTGAGAGAATCCCCCCGTCTTCTGGTAAACCCTGGTTAATATAAATATACTGAACATGATGTGATATGATATGGAATATCTCATTGTCATACCCAAATGCCAGTTTTGGGGTTTGATAAACACTATGCTTCTTCCTCCCAGTCTTAATACACCTTTGAACCAGCCAAACATGATGATCTTGAGCTCCAGCAGCAACTAAAAACATTAGTACTTTATCAACATTCTTCAACAAATCCCATACTGCAACTAAAACACAGCTATTCTAGCTACTAAGAAGAAAATTAACTCTATCCTAGTAAAACCAGTACAGGGCTTCAACAGGGTTTTGCTTCAGACATGAAGATGGCCTTCTGCATCTGGCACTTTGTTTTTTCACCAGATGTCTCAGCTGGTTCAATGGAAGAGCACCTCCCTCCCAAACCTTGCCTCCTTCCCACAACTTGGAAGGACTCAAGCAAAAGGAGAATCCCTGCAACTATAAAAGCTGGAGGAGAAAGGAGCTGAGCAAGTGCTAGGTGAAATTTTCACAGCCTTTAGCAATACCGCTAAGGGTCAGGTTTACATCTCACTGAAACTGAAGCAACTGCAGCTGGTACAAGGAGAGAGCTGCTCCCTGCCCATGCCAGCGTGTCCCTTGTCCCTCCAACACCAGGGACATGGCACACAGTAGAGTGGGTCCCCTCGGCTGGCTGATCAGATAGAAAATGGGGCTGGGGTTATGGCTGGGGGGTGCATTGACACCTGGGCAAGCTGCCCAAACCCCTCGTGCCACAGGCACCCAAACATGAGGTCCAGTGCACAGTGGGTTGCTCAGGGCTGGGGCCAAGGGCGTCACCTGCTTTGCAGCAGCACACAGCCACAGCACCTCAGACCCAAAGTGGTAGGAGAGTGGTTTCACATCCACCTGTGGTTGCATGGGCAAAAGATTTGTCACAAGATGCTTCACACAGCCTGGCTGAGCTTCTGCTTCCTGTGCTTCTTG